TAGCCTATATCGTGATGACATTTGAATATATACACTGATTTCTATTTGATGACACAAATCGACACAGGTCGACACAAGCATCGTTCTATCCTTCTTATATTCAGAGTGACAAAGATAGAACGACACTTGTGCCGAGTGTGTCTCTTAAAAGGAAAACAGCCTTAGGGCGACTGTTACCAACGCCGATTAACTTAATCGGCTGATTAGTCCATTGGAATTGATCAATCGCATTTGTCATTTTGTTTGACGACAGATGGCGATTGGCCAATTCCAATGGACTAATCAGACGATTAAGTTAATCGGAGTTGGTAACAGTCGCCCTTAATGTAGCTGGAGATATAATTTTATGAGAAGTGAGTGGCATACAATAATGCCATCTATCAAATCAGAGCGGAAATATTAGCAAACGGAAAGTACGCCTGGATGAATGGGAGTTTGGACCCCCTGGACTTCTTGTGACTTCTTGCGTCTATGTTTGCGCTTGCGCCTTTACGCCTTGCCATGTAAACGAACCTTAATAGATAATGTATGTAAAACTGAAGTGAAATATATTGTTAATAATACTGATCGTGTAAGATAGTAAAAATATTAAAAATATGCTGTATACTATCAGTATTAATGATTCAGTATTATTGATCAGTATTATTAACCATATAGAATCACCTTTATGTATCATTTTATCCTTGCTGTTCACCGAATATTAAAGAAAGCTAAAACTATAAAAAATACATCATGCAATACATTATGCATGAAACCACATGAAACAGGTAATATAATCAATATGTATGTACATACATATACATATACTTTAAACAATAAAATAATGCTTCTCTTCTTTTTTATATTCGCTACCGGAATAAACGTGGACACACCTGACTACGTAAAATAAATGACGCAGTGCTCGGACCGAACGGAGCCCGATCGGCCCGGCCAAGCAATCCGTCTGATGTATGTATCCGTGGACAGCGAACGACAGACTCGCGAATATATAGTGGACTAACAGCGTTTTTTTTTAAGCGTTATTATTTGTAAGACTCAAAGAATCACCACTTTATTTGCGCAACCACCAGAAACCACGTTTAATCACGTTTCAATCACGTTCTGATACTTCCGACAGTTCCGACGCTAGAATCAGCTAGAATGATCAGAACTGAATGATCAGAACAATAATCATGTTGACAGTACCGATCAAGCAGGAATACTGAAGTTTGTAGTTCCCAAAACTCTGTCTATTCGCCCAGATGGCGCAGAAATATAAGGTTTGATTTAAAACTTTATTAAGGGTACGCGTCCCATGACGCGTATCGCCGTACGCGTGTATTTGCTAGAGAGCCTCAAGTAAGAGATGCGCTAGAGATCCTCAAGTAAGAGGTGCGCGAACTTCTAGCATTTGCAAGAACATGGCGGCCTCCATTATGTGTCATATGTGTGTGATACTTGTATGTTTGTAAGTACAAATTTAGATAATAATGATTCAATATTATTATAAAATATTATTATGACATATATGTTGTAAAATTGATGTGGTAATTGAAAATATTGTAACGGCATATTCCTAACCTATAATGTACATGACTTCGGCTGTGTTTCAAATTTACTGCCAGCACAAAAATGCTACAGTTTACGTTACGTACACTATAGATTTTCAATACTGGCAGTTTTGGAACACAGCCTTTATAACGCATAAGTAAACAATTATAGGTAATATCTAGAAAATAACAATGTCAGGCTGTTGCATGCCAAATTGTAAAAATTCAGCGGCTAAGGGAATTCTTATGAAACATTTCCCAAGAAATCCAGACAAAAGGGTTCAATGGGTTCCCTGATGGAAAAATTTCGCTGAAATTATTTTACATTTTAGTACATTTTTCAGCAAA